CCAAATTCCTTGTGCCACCGCACATATTATTGATCCCGCGACAAACATCAGAAGAGAGAGCATGTAAACTTTTCGTCTTGTCGCATATTCGTCGGAATAAGATGCCCACACTATTGGCTGTGACAAATTAATGCGTAATGGTAAGGGATATGTATACAATATCATGTGATAAAATTGACCTATAAAAAATCTTGTCACGATCTTTCCACACCAGACTTCGGAAATGCCTTGAAATCTGAACACAGACTAGAAAATATCAAGCATTTCCGTGGCAAGATGTCTTATAAGGTGGAATGTACTTTACCACTAATCCCATAAAAAATAGAAACACCGAAGCTGCATATTATAGATGGATGAATGTATGAATTTTTGTTCAGATAAAAGGTTTTATTTGCTTTGCAAAAAGGTGTGACCTCTGCAGATCATGATGTCATGTAAAAATCAGGAGACTTTTCGATTTTTACAGATTTATATATACTGTATATTGTATATACAGTACGTATGTCGTTTACTGAAATATGCGATTGATAGGAAATTTAAAATCTCAGTAGTTCTTACTATCATGATCATTAAAATAACTGGGTCACACCTTTTTGTAAACCGCTATAAAATTCATATGTATTTTTCATTCCGTGCCATATTTTAGAGTCAAAATGAGTCAAATGTTTTATATCAACCTTAAAAGATTATTATATTACCTAACGAATTGACAGCCATCGAATTTGTTTCAAATTCTTTTTGTATCGTAATTAGCGCGGGAAAAATAATCCTGAAATTTTAACAATAAATTATTATAATTAATTATTTAGCATCCCTATTTTGGTAATTAAAAAAAAAGATACTTGCGTGCTTGAAATTGGCGCCAACATTCCAGAAATTGTTACGATGATCAAAACCAGCCATTTCTTTTTTATAGGCCAATTCTTTGGGTCATCATCAGAAAATAATTTTTCGTTTGTTAACGTAGTAGTATTATCAGGTAGATTTTCTATAAAACAAATAAAGATTATTAAATTATGGGTATATATTCAATGCGTGTTCACAATGATTAAATCGATGGTTCGAATGTTTATAAAAAAACTTTAAACTATTATGACTTTTTAAAACAAAAAAGTCATACAATCATGTCTTTACCGCTCCGAAATTAAGCACCACTTTTTTGCATATAATGCAGGTCTAATCATCACATAAAAATAATATTAGTAATGCTACGTACGTATAACATGTGAACTCACATGTCACTATTTGTGGCTATGCATCACGTAGTGTCGCCTAATAACTATAGGACCAGTAGTGCTTATTTTCGGTGGGTGCGTAATTTCTGAGCGGTACGGTATTTTTCTTTTATTCTGTAATAGTTATAATGTGTTAAAGTTTATAATCGACTATGAATTTGACTTTAAATAT